AAATGAGGGCCAGGAGGAGGCATTACAGACACCAGCTGGAGCCCCCAGAGCTGGCAGACACCTCTGCCACATGGCGATGGGCCCCCGGCTCCTGGGCTGTGTCGTGCTTTGTCTCCTGGGAGCAGGTGAGTCCCAGCGCGCATGGGCAGCCCTTGGCCGTAGCTTGCAGCTCTGAGCTGGAGCCCTTTCCTAGCGGCAGCAGCACCAGCCGCCCTCCTCGGCTGTCTCTCGTTCCGTCTCCAGCTCTGTCTCTGTCCCTCACAGGCCCCCTGGAAGCCAAAGTGACCCAGATTCCAAGATACCTCATCACAGAGACCAAAAAGAATATGACAGTGACTTGTTCTCAGGATATGGACCATGAAGCTATGTACTGGTATCGACAAGACCCAGGGCAGGGGCTCAAGCTGATCTATTATTCAATTAATATTGGCCATTCTGAAGAAGGAGATGTCCGTGATGGGTACAAGGCATCTCGAAGGGTGAAGAAATATTTCCCACTGACCCTGCTGTTGACCAGCACCAGCCAGACCTCTCTGTACTTTTGCGCCAGCAGTATATCCACAGCATGACATGGCCAGGGGCTCTCCCCACAAAAAGGGCAGCCACAGAACAGGGAGGCTCCTCCCTCCGGATGCCCCACCCACGGAGGAAAACCTTCCCCCGTCTGTGCCCATAGCAGCCCCTCCCCCGCTCCCAGCTTCTGGGCTGCCGGTCTGCAAGTCTGCAATGTGTCCTGCGCTCACCTGCTGTACCAGTGAGCGCATCAAAGGTCGGGCAGGACAAGCAAACCGTGTTAGGTCTAGTGCCGAGGTAAGGAATTCCTTTCCTAGAAAGGGGATTGCACACACCCTGCTGTCATTTCTCCTCACTGACCTCCATCGGTGCCCAAGCGAAACATTCCGTTCCAGGCCAATCGCTCACCACGATTTTGCTCCCCTTCCCAGGTCCCACTCCGGGATGTATTGTCTCTGGGGGAAGAGCGGGTTCTGAGGGGTTGGCTAAATCCGACATCTCCCGTTTTCATCCCAGCAAAGGGCCACGTTGTCCAACCAAAGGCTCAAGGCACGGATGTCCTCTCCTTCCACACCCAGTCCGTGGCCACCCCCTCCACATTTCTAAGTATTATATTCCTTGCAAATTTTACTAATTTTTCTAACCTCCCTGATAACACCATGGTCCAGCAAATGTCATCTGTCACCTCAGTTCCTTAACCACCTTTCAATCAGCCACGCACCCTTCTCGTTTGCTGCCTGCCGCAACACACAGACTACTCTCTTGGGCTTACAACCCGTCAGGGTCCTTCATTGCCCCAGCTAAAGTCGCAAGCTCGGGTTAGTTCACAAGCGCCCTCCTTGATGTGGTCTCGGCATACCTGTCGCCATCCCAATGTGAGCTTCCTCTTTCTACAGTTACCAGAGAAACATAACACCAGAGGGGTCCACCTCTCTCCTGTCCCCAAGTATGCCCCATGCTGACTCACTCCTGGGTCATCACCTATAATCTTCATTTTACCTAGAGCACCTTCTCTCTCCCTCTCTCTCTGGATGCCTAACTGATAATAATTCTTCTGCTTACTCATTGAGAAGTCATTTCCTGCAGGAAAATGTCCTCGAGTCCCTGACTGATTTGGTTAGTCCCTCTGCTAGCTGCTCTATGGCAGCCTGAACCTCTATCTTCATGGCAATGAACAGCCTCAACTGTTTGTTATTTGAAATTTACACTAATTGATGTTGAAGTCGAAGAGAGCAGAGACCATCTCAGAGTGCCTGAAGAAAGTACTAGTAGTGTCAAGTGAATGGATGAATTAGTCTCTTCGGTCAGTTCTCTGACACCCCTCTGACTAGTCCAGGATCTAAGTCCCCTGCAAAGTCCTCTCCCATACAGTTTGGGGAGAATCCAGGGGTTTTCACATGTGTACACGAACAAGGCAAATCATGTTCTCTAGTAGAGTTTATTGTTCCTCCACTTCAGCCCTCCATCTACTCTATGCCATACGTCACCCTGACAAGCATGTTAGTGCCTCTCTTGGGTACCACTGACCCGTGGGATTCTTTTCTTTTCCTGAAGGGCCCGAAACTACCAGTCAGTCATTGCTGATGCTTCTGCTCTGTATCTGGAGAAAGCATTCAAGGGAAAACGGGTGAGGGTGTTACAGTCATTTTCCTTCTGCATCATAGTCCTCAATGACAGATTGGCTTCTGTCATCGAACTGCAGGGGACAGAGCACAATTAATGTAGGCTCAGGTGAAGGGACAGTCTTGCATGGCCCCCGCAAAGGAGAATTGTTGAAGAGGAAATCTTTAAAACAAGACAGTCACTGGAATGAATATAAATGTGGAGATTTGGGTAAATATGTAAAAGTAATTTTGAGGAGGAGTTTAAGGACACACCAGAAATGATAAGGATTTACTCTAAGGATCTGGGCCGTGGAAATAATTGGGAAATGCAATTACTATATGTTAATAAAAATTGCTGAAACAATAATGGGCATAGAGAGAAGAAGTTTAAGCACCTGAAACTAATGTAACTTTGTATGTCAGCTGTAACTGAAAATAATAAATAAGAACTTAAAAGTTAAAAAAGACGTCTAAGAAGGCAACAAAAGTCAGAGTATTCCCTTATTGGCCTTGTGTAAACAGAGGCCATCAGCTACTGTCATTCCCGGTTGGCAAGTTGTACATAAACATCCCATCTGGTGCTCTGGAGGCAATGGGTGTGGCTTCCGGTGTTCCCGGAAGGTGGTTTTGAGCACAGACCTGGGTGACGGCACAGGCTGGCTCCCCAGCACCTATGTCTTATTTTACTAACACCAGAGCTAACACAGACCCCTCCCCCTCACACATGAACTCACCTGCCACCCGCACTGGGGCTTCTGTCTGATCTGCAGCCCTTCGTGCCTATTGGTGGTTCATGGGAACCCGAGGATGTCCTTGAACTTGGTGGGCCAGACCCCTGCACTAAGACTTTCTCGGGTGCTTACACATTGGCGTCCCTCCCAAGCTCTCTCTTCAGGAACCATCTCTTTTCATCCACAGTGTTTGTGGACGGTGATATCACTGAAGTCCCAGGTAATTAGGTTTCAGGGTCTGAAAAGAAGGCGTCTCGGTGATGTGACCAAGATACGTACTATGCCCTAGAGGTGCTGATTCAGACAAGAGCCAGGAATGAGGCTACGATTAATCTATTCGTTGGTCGGTGCCAGGGGGACCACGGGTGGGACGTCTCTAAGCCACATGGCATCGTTTAAGGTAATACTGAGAATTTTTCCTAACCTGCAGACATCTACATATTTCTGTCAGCAGTTAACCCACAACACTGCACAGCCGCTTCCTCTTTTCCCAGAAAGGGGTGTCGCCAAGGGAGAGGGGGCTGGGCCTCCCTCGGCCCAGACCCTCCATCAGAATTCACCTGATACCAATCCAGCCACCCAGGCAGCACCTGCTGGAGGGCGCTCCTCTCCCCCTCAGATGCACGGGGGTCCTCAGGGCCCCCTCTAGGACCACACAGCCTGTTCAACTTGCTGCATTTTCCGTCCCCACCGCTCTCGCCAGCAACAGCATTCGGCTGTCCAGTGCGACTTGATCTCCACACAAACTGCTTTTGTCATTTCCGCTCTTGGCCCTGGGCTTCCCTTCTCGGGGTCAACATTTGGAGTCACTTGATAGTTGCATTGCAGGGTGACGGCCACCCCGCTCCGGAGATCCCACTGGAATGCACACGCCATCTCCTCGGCCAGGTCCAGCAGGCAGACTCCTTCTCACCCTCTGGGCCTCGTGGTTGCTTCCCAGGTTCCCCCGGAGGCCCCTGGCCATGCACGCCGCACGCTGTTGCTCTCACGGCTCAGATTCATGACATGGACCTGGACACACAGCCAGGTCAGAGGGTGAAAGACAGAGGCAAAGGGCGGAGGAATCCACGCGAGATGCCCTGTGCTCTACGCCTCCCACCAGGACGCACGCTTTCACCCAGCAATGAACGGGCAGCCCCCTGTATGCAGTGTTTCTGCCCAGAGAAGCCCACCAGAAACTCAGCACCCAAACCTTTTTGGCAGCTGGTGTTACAGGCTGAATTCCGTCTCCTCCGAAATTAATATGTTGCAGTGCTAACCTCAGAATGGCCTATTTGGAGATAAGGTCTTTAAAGAAGTGATGCATGTTAACCAGGCCATTGTGGGTGGGCCCTTTCCCACTAGGACCGGCGTCCCGATAAGAGGAGGAAATTAGGACAGAGACATACACAGAAAGAGAATCATGTGAAGACATAGAGAGACGGCCGTCTGCATGCCAAGGAGAGGGGCCCCTCCGAAGAAACCACCCTGCTGACACCTTGACCTTGGACTTCCAGCCTCCGGAATAGTGAGAAATTTCTGTTGCTTGTCACCCGTGTTGGTAGCGCGAGCCAGCTAACGCAGCTGGCCGCACAGCGCCCTCTGTCGATCACGAACCGACAGGCCGGGCTCAGAGAAGCATAGGGGGCGTTCAGCGGGAACCTCGTTGTTTGTGCCAGTGGCCCAGGGACAGCCAGCTACGCTCACCGGGTCCTGAACGGCGGGAGCGCTGCCGACACCCCGGCCGAGAGCCTAGCCTACCTCGCCAGCAGGGCCTTGTAAGACAGGCCTCTCGGGCCTGCTATGGTCACTCTGCACACACGCTGACGCTCGCAGGAGGAGATGGGGTGGCTTTCACTCTCGCCCCTTTAAACTCCCTGGAATCTGCAGGGCTGCTGAGGGGGCATGAGTGTGGGCGGGGACAATGACGTCAGAGACATCGATCAGCCCGTATCCTGGGCCTGGGAGAGGACCCTTTCTTGCTTCCAACCTGCCATGGGACTCAGGCTTCTCTGTGGTGTAGCCTTTTGTTTCCTGGGAGTAGGTGAGTCCAGGGAGTGAATGGCAAAACCCCCCCGCCCTCCTATTATTTCTGGACCCTGGTTACAAGACTTTCCCCTCATCGGGCTTCTCGATGACCTCCTTTTTCACCGCCTTTCCCCCTCTTTCACAGGCCCCATGGATGCCGAAGTAACCCAGACCTCAAGATATCTGGTCAAGAGAATGGGAGAGAAAGTTGTGATCGAATGTTCCCAGGATATGGGCCACGACAGAATGTTCTGGTACCGGCAAGACCCAGGTCTGGGGCTGCGGCTGCTCCATTTCTCATACGGGACTGGCCTATATGAGAAAGGAGACTTCCCTGACGGGTACAGCGTCTTCAGGCTGAAGGAAGAGGAGTTCTCCCTGACCCTGGGCTCTGCCAGCACCAACCAGACATCTGTGTATCTCTGCGCCAGCAGTGTATCCACAGCGTTGCACGGCCGCCGCCTCCCTGCACAGAAAGGGCAGGTGCCGGGGGAGGCGACCCAGCTGAGGGCAGAGTCACGCCGGCTCCTAGTGCACGCCTGTGCCGCTCAGAAAAGAAGGTAGTGCCTCAGTGGAGGCAAGCCCACGGACACACATCGTGGCCAGGAGAGCACAGGGTTATTTTTTATGCCCCACTCACGTTCATTTCCACATCCCCAAGTTAGCCTGCCCAGACTTCTGTATTGTCCCCAACCTAAATCTATGAGACTCGGCCCCAGCCATGAGGAAAAGTCCTCGCACCTATGTGCACACAAGCACTGTTCTACCTTTTTTTTTTTTTATCAGTTTTTCCTTCCCTTGCTTATCCTTGTCCCTCTTACTATCATTTACTGCTGTGACCGACGTCTTTGCACTTAATTAATATTTCACTAGGGGGCACTCACACAACCTAAACTCCTTCAGGTAAATTTTATTGTCCATCTGCTGATTCAAGAGAAAGCCTGTGGAATTTGAATTCCGTTCATTCAATCTAAAAACAGAAAAACTCTGATAAAATCTATCATTCTCCATGTTCTCCAAGTGGTCAGTCATGCTCTATTGGGAAATTCTGAACAGGGAAGGAATAAATTATGATGCAGAGGTTGTAAAAATTAGATTATTCCTGTATACACGATCACCTGGAAAAGCATGTTTATTTTTAATAATGAAACATCCATCCTGTCAGTAAATATTAACTGAGCCCTTTGGGAATGCAACAGAAATGTAGAGAGTATTGGAAAACGTGGTAGATTTCACAGGTGTATGTATTTGTTAAAACTTATTTAATGGGACCTAACAGTTGTATAGTTTATTGTATGAAAATTTCACCTAAGAAGGAACTGTAAATAAATATTGAACTATAGTTAATTATGTTCATGCTGAAGTGTTTAGAAGTGGAGTATGCTTTCAACTAACTTTTAAAGGTATCCAACCATTTAGAGAAGTAGATGGATAGTTGTAGGATACAACCATAAGTAGCTCTATCTAGATGGTGGGTGCATGAATGTTCATTATAATACTTTCAACTTCTATAGATTTTGGAAATTCTCATCATAGAATTGTAAGTAATAATAGGCAAATATTTATATACTGGTAATGAACTAAAATTTAAATATATCAATAAGAATACATTGTTAGTAAAATAAGAAACAAGGCACAGGATGATCTGAGCTGTTTGCTCCTATCTGTGCTTAGAAAAGGTCCAATCGGACGCACCTAAACTTGAGTAAGTCAGGAGTATTTCTAGTAACATATGTAGCAAACTTACTGAGGGGGTGTTTCTGGAGAAAGTAACTTACATTTTGCTCTCTTCTTTGTATGTTTTGATATTTTAACCATGTGCATGCATTAATTCAATAAATACATTACAATTCTATGATAATTTAATATGCATGATTCCCTTGGAAAAAATCTAGAGACACCACTGCCGTTTGAAGAACAGGAAAAGGGAGAACAGTATCTTTGCTGTTGTTTTAAAAGAGAAAGAGAAAACCACTAAGGGGGAAATGATTTGGAATTCAGTAAAGAATAGGAGTCATTTGGTAATTTTAAGAAAAATTTGAGATGAATGAAATAGAAAAAAAGGATCTTGGCTTATTTTGACAGAAGCTTGATATATTTGACTAAAATATTTTACTATATCCCTAGAAGTCTGGAAAAAAATGGAGTGCTCTGTACTTTTCACCAGAATACTGCTTATCAGCGTTTATCTTGAACCACCAGCTCTGGTACCTCCTGTAGATGTAGAGGCTACACACACACACACACACACACACTCACCCTATAGGAGAAACGGTTACTGGACTATTGTTATCCCTAACATGCTGCATTTCCTCTATCAGAAAGTACACTGTTTCTCTAGTTTTATTTTTCTGAAATACGGATAAGTTCTCTAATCTATATTCATTTCTAGTGTAGCACTAACCACCACCCAAAAATAACAATTGTGTTTTTCACAGCGCACCTTATCACAGATGGACTCTCAGAATCAGTGATATATAAGGCAGGTTAGTTTTCCAAGAATTGCTTTCTATAGGTCCTTGTTTCCTTTAGGGTGTTGGGCCTGGCGTTCTCAGCCATCCGCCAGATTCTACGGTCAAACAACTGCAAAAGTGAGACTGTCCTTTAGAATATGGATGTTACCATTTGGGTTTGGGGGGCACATAGGCTGGGATTTGGGTCCTACCTCGGTCACTTACTCTTGGATTATGTGAATTTGGATAGGTTATTTACGGTCTTTATGTCTCATGTGTAAAATTTCCTCATCTGTTAAAATGGGATAATAGTAGCAAAGTAGCCTAACCTATAGATAGACTGAAATAATACATGGAAAGCGGAGTATAAGTGCTCAAAAAAAATTAGCTCAGCTTTTATGCAAAAGTAAAGTATTTTATTGGGAGGGAGGAAATCAGGAGCAGAGGCCCATTTACTGGAGGATGGGCTGAGAGAGGAATAATGGGGACAATTTCGGACAACGAAGACGCAACAGAGTTGAACTTCTGAGTTATAAGGTACCCCTGTATTCCAAGGTTTTACCTTAGTTATTTGAGGTCAGTGCTGCATCCCATTCTTCCTGTTCTCCATGGTGATGGATGGCAGTTGGACACTGGGACGCCTTGTGGGTGAAGAGCCAGGCACCTCCACTAGGGGGGCAGACTAATTTCCTCCATATTTTGCAGAAACTCAACTTCCTACTTACAGGAGGGGTAGAGACAACCCACAGGAAAGGGACTACACAGTGGTGAGGAAAGATGAACTTGAGTTTGACATCTTTAGTGCTTTTTCTCAGGGAAGAGGAGAGGGTATCGCCGAAAGAAAAGATGCTGACTTTCCTTCTACTTCTCCTGGCACGAAGTATGAGCCTTATGGGGTGGGCAAGTCTGGGGTTAATGTTAATGCTGAGGAGATGAGTAGAGGGTCTGAGTCCACCAGTCAGAGGATGGGGTGGGGGGCAGGTGCTGGATTAGAGGATTTGCAGAATAACAGTTGGCAGAACAAAATGGAGGCTGTGCCACAGGGTTCTTTGGGAGCCAAGGTGATGTTGGAGCAAATAGTAAAAGACCTTCCTGCCTGGGGACAAGCTGGTCCGCCCTCACGGGTTTCTCTATCTCCCTGCAACCAGGCTCTGTGTTTGGTACTGTCATCTCTCAAAAGCCGAGGAGGTTCATCTGTCAACGTGGGACCTCTGTGACGATCGAGTGTCAGGCTGACAGCCAACTTGTATACATGTTCTGGTACCGTCAGCTTCCAGGACAGAGCTTGACACTGATTGCAACTGCGAATCAGGGCTCTGATGCCACTTACGAAAGTGGATTTAACACCATCAAGTTTCCCATCAGCCGCCCAAACCTAACGTTCTCCACTCTGACTGTCAGCAGCGTGAGCCCCCAAGACAGCAGCTCTTACTTCTGCAGCGCTGGGGACACAGTGCTGGGCACAGATCAAAGACCTGAGCAAGAACCTCAGCTGCCTCCTCCCTGCTCTCTCCTCCCTGTTCCCTCCTCCCCAGCTCTCATCCAGATGAACCTGAATACCCAGGCTGAAGAAAGGAAACCACCGCTTTGGGGCCAAAACAGCTGCTGCTGTGTTGGTGGGTGGGTATGACTGTGCATGGAGGGACTGAGAGGGAGACAGAACTTGTAGGACTAGCTGGAGGGCTCCATCCACAGACAGGAAGAGTGGCTACTGGGAGCCTGAGATAAAACTTCCTCCAGAAGAAAATCAGATACAGTTTGCCTTCGAGTGCCTGGTTCAGAAATGCCCTTTAAGTATTTTAACTCAACACTCTATTTAGCCTCTTCTTGATCAGCATACCGTATTTTGCCGTGTATAATGTGCACCCACATTTTTGGGTGCATTATACATGGGATTATTATACCCATGGTATGTAACCATTATATCCATGTATAATGTGCATCCTTATTTTTCCCTCAGAAATTTGGGCAAAAATGTGTGCATTATCCACAGCCAAACACACACACACACACGGTAGTTCGGAAGGCCCTTAGTCACCTTCATAGCACACTGGTCATAGGACACTGGCGGCATTATGCTGATGGTTCTTGGTGAACAGAAAACATAAAGCACTCTAAGTGCCTCCGTATATGACAGACGCGTGCCAGACCAATGTAAAATCTGCAAAAGTTCAGGGACCTGCCACGTTGGTGAGCTTTCGAGTAGTCCAGAGGTGCGGGACACGTCGGAATATCCACTCTAAAGCGAGAGACAAGCTGCTGCAACTTACTACCATCTGCCGCGCAGAAAGAGGCGTGACGCCTCCCGGGCCTCTCCGGACTCTGGGGTTCACATATACTGCAGGTGGGTGTGCTGCTCTGGTCCCTTACGGTGTCTTCTGTAAGGCAGGGCGCTGGCTGGGAACACAAGAGTTCTGTAGCAGAACAGGGCTGGGATGAAAGCTGCGTGCACCCCGGGTCAGACACCAAGCAGGCTCAGTTGTTCTTAAAGTGCCTGCGGCCCGCTCCAAAAACAATAGGGCTCTCAAGGCCGGTGCAGAGAGGTTTGGTGTAAAGCGACATTCTCTTCTACCTGCCAACAACTCTTCTTCCTTTGAAAAGCTGCTCCTGGCTCTTGACTGAATGCCCTAGCATGGCATTCAGGACCGCGTGTCACCTGACCCCCGACACTGGCAAGCTGGACAAGCGCAGAGTTTTCTGTGATAAGTGGAAAATGTATAATCAAGACCAGACTCAAGCACAGCCGGAAGAAGGGAGGATTTCATTTCAAGAGCAAGTCTCAATAACATGGTACCCACTTCTATTTTACCCCCGACCTTGACCCTCAATCCATACCCTAGGCTGCATGGGAAAAGCATGGGCCTGTTTTCGGGATAGATTCGCAGGGTCGTCTGGAATGCCCGTTGCAGTGTAATACCGTGCGCTCCTGAAGGGTAGCTGTGAAGGGTAACCCTCCGAAGGGCGGAGCTTCAGTCCATGCGT